CCAGTTAGCACAGATCAGAGATTTAAAACTCAAATCCAGACCTCCTGCTTCCATGTGCAGTGGCATTTCACTGTCCTGTTTTTCTCCACTTGATGAAGGGATTAGAGAATAAATGACCACATAATTCAACTCCCTCCTCAGCTCTGGGGAGTATAGACTTGTCCTGGGAAGCAGAAAGCTCAGACAGTAGAGGAGGAGGCAAACACACATTCGCTAATCTGACATACAATGCAGCAGGCACAGTACCATAACAAAGCACTGTGGGGCTTCAGACCAGGAGCAAAGGGGCTGATTAATTCTTAATAGGGCTAGTAAAGTCAGGGAAGTGTTCGCTAACAAAATGTCTAGTCATTAACTAAATCAAATGGTTTCCCAACATGGCCCAACTAATTGTAACTTAATATAAATGGTTGTTTGTTCATAAACCTTCATCTTTTGCCAAAACATTTGTAGCTTATGTTCCCATTTAACAAGGTTTTCTGGTCAAAACTGTGCGCCCACATCATTCTAATGAACTGAGTGTCCAATAAAACATGGACTCTTAGTCATCACATGAAGCTGATTTTGCATGCATAGTACATCTCTGTCTGTGAATATCCCTAATGAGGTACAGAAGGACACTTAGTATCCAAACAAAGACATTCCATTTGTGCTAGAGAGCCACAGACGGAAGTTTCCATTGCCTCCTGGAAATAAAGTCAAGGTTTCTTGTTTCTTCAGCCATGAGGATTGCTGTCCTTCTCTTTACCATTCCCTTTTTTCATGAGCCAAGCTCTACCAGATAACAAGATAAATTTCATGTAAGCCTCGGTAAAAGTAGAGTGTCTGACACCTTGTGGTGCTATAATACTCAAAGCAAGAGCAAAATCACCTATGCCCAGAGAAGAGAGTCTCATCGGACATCTAGAAGACCTATTTATTGGCTGAGAGACCTGCAGCCTCATAGCCCATTAGTTCTGCATAGCAACTCACATGAAATGAAATCAGTGGTGTTTCAAGTGCTTGAAACCCTCTTTACGCTACCTCTACATGTGAATTAATTAGGCCAGTTTACTAGCAGTTGCTAGACCTCAAAAGCAAAATACCAAATGAACTACATGAGGCACCAGGGACTAATTCGGAAAAGACAGAGATATATGCCCTTTTAAACAGATAAATAAAAATGGCTGTGTTGAGAAAAGCCAGACAGCTTTATGATAACACGGGAAAGGAAGTCAGAATCCTATCAGATAAATTTAACAAGAACATTGAAATAACTCAAAACAATGAAAAAGAAATTCTGGAGTTGAAAAACGCAATTGACATAGTTAAAATGTATTCAAGTCTTTTACCAGCAGAATTGATCAAGCAGAATAAATTAGTCCTCTTGAAGACAGGCTATTTGAAAGTACAAAGTCAAAGGAGACAAAAGAAAAAAAAAAGAAAACACTTCCCAAGCAGAAGGAGTTATTCTCTACAGGCACCACAACTGTGAATGTGCTTCAGGTCACACCTGAAGGCAGTAAATCTCAGTCTTACCCAAGGCCCGCTACCTGCACTACATGCTTACTGCCGCTCGTCATTCGGGACCCCAGGGCTCTTTAGGCAGCAAGTGATGAATCCAGGCGGGCCAGGATATAGTGGAGCGCAATTGTATGTTATTTGCTTCTTTCTCTTGCTGGTTTTAGAGCCCATTTTAAAAAGTTTGTTTTTGTTTAAGAGAGGGTGTCACTCTGTCACCCAGGCTGCAGTACAGGGGCACGGTCTCAGCTCACTGCAGCCTTGACCTCCTGGGCTCAAGCAGCCCTCCCCTTAGCCTCCGGAGTAGTTGGACCTACAGGCGTGCACCACCACACACAGCCAATTTTTTCTGTATTTTCACTCTGTTGCCTAGGCTGGTTTCAAGCTCCTAAGCTCAAGTGATCTTCCCTCCTCAGCCTCCCAAAGTGCTGGGATTACAGACATGAGCCACCACACCTACCTGAAACTTCTCTTTGTCCTTGATTTCTGGGAGTTTGAGTATTAAATATCTTGAGGTAGTCTTATTTGGGTTAAATCTGCCTGGTGTTCTATAACCTTCTTGTATTTGACTATTGATATATTTTCTAGGTTTGGGAAGGTTTCTGTTACTACTTTGAAAATAAACGTTTCATCCCATTTGTCTCTCTGCCTCCTCTTTAAGGCAAATAACTCTTAGATTTGCCCTTTTGAGGCTATTTTCTAGAGTCTGTAGGCATGCTATTTTTGGTTTGTTTTATTGACAAGAGACTTGTTTATTAATGATTTAGTCTTTCAACTAACATTTATTATGTACTTTCTATCTTTAAGGAGCTGTTATAGATACTGGGTATACATCAGCAAACCCAATGTATCAAAATTGATGCTTTCATTGAAGGATACAGTCTAGATGGAAGAAAAAGGCAATATACACCAAAAATAAAAATAGACAAATGAAGATAGAATAATAAAGATAATGTATTTTGAGGTTAAATTTTTAAATAACATGTCAGTGATAGTTTGAAGAGGCTATGACATTCAAACCAATGATGAAAGGAAGCAAATGAGTCAGACATATAAAAATGTAGAGTTCTTGAAAGCAGAACCAGTGCAAAGACCCTAATGGTAGAACAGGACTGCCAAGTGTGAGGAAAAGCAGGGTGGAAAACGCACCTGAGCAGTGTGAGTGAAGAGACAGCCAGGCCCGCGGGCTGTTGTCATGACCTTGTCCTTTACCTGGGATGAAGTGGAAGGTTTTGACATTATAGGTACTCTTTGTGACAGCAATCACTGCTTTACGTTGTCTTACATGGTCTGAGCCCATGTAACTTTGTGCCTTAAATGCCTAAGAATGTAGCGTATGAACGTGATTTCTAGACATTCCAGTATCATTGTTAACATTTTTATTCCATATAAAAGGAGGTTTATTTAGATGTTAGAATCATCTTGTGATTGAACAAGATGGGATGTGAACCCACCAAGGCCCAGGGCTGAGCAGCAGAGCAGCTGCCTCTGACATCTGCATGAATTTCACACACAACAGGGGGTGACCCAGGCTTGCTGGCCATTGTGCTTCAAAACATTTTTCCAAGGGATGGCTGTGACTACAGTTTTCAGATGTGCTCTGGCCGCCAAGGACTGGGGGTGAGGTGAGGGTGTCCTCTGTATAAAAAGTGCTGTCCCAGGTGCTTCCCAACGGACACCTTGGGGCATCTGAGCGATTCCCCGGAGGGCAGCTCGGCCTATCTCAGGCTACCGCTAGAGTCACCATGAGACATTCTCACCAGCAATCAACCAAAAAGCATCAGCGTCAAAGAAATTACAAATGAGGCTGGGTGCAGTGGCTCAAACCTGTAATCTCAGCACTTTGGGAGGCCGAGGTGGGTGGATCACGAGGTCAGGAGATCTAGACCATCCTGGCCCGACATGGTGAAACCCCATCTCGAATAAAAAATAAAATACAAAAAAAATTAGCCGGATGTGGTGGTGTGCATCTGTAGTCCGAGGTACTCAGGAGGCTGAGGCAGAAGAATTGCTTGAAGCCGGGAAGAGGAGGTTGCAGTGAGCCGAAATTGTGCCGTTGCACTCCAGCCTGCTGCATTGGTTTTTCCATAAGGTAGCTCAGAACATGGAAACTGACTTTTCTTAGAGTGATTAAATAAGCCAAGGAGAGCAAGGATGCCCAAGATTGTTCTGAATTACGAAGTGACAACCTATCCTGTCTGCTGCACTGCAATTACTAGAAGCAGTTAAGTCCAGCCTACTCTCAGAAGGAGGTGTTACACGAGGGCATGAACATCAGGAAGGAAGGATAGCTGGGGACCACCGTGGAAGCTGACAGTAACATTCAGTGGTGTAGACTTTTATTCAGATAGCTATATTTAGGTTCACATTTTTTAATTACTATAGGGACTATTCTGTAGAGATGACAAAGGCTGCTTATGCTAGCAAAAATGTTTCAAAATCTTTAGCTATTGAATTTCAGTAGCGGAATTCCAAGTAATTTTCCTTCTTTTCTTCAGTTTGTTGAATTTTTTAATGCCAAGCTTTACTTGAAAAATAAATGTTTATTTAAAACAATAACTAATGATTTTAAAAGAGGTTGAAATACGCTTTCAACTTAATAATGTTGCTGTAAAATGAAATACCAAATTCTTTCTTCCAGATATATAGAAGTAAAATTGTTATACACAAACTGTACATAATTAGTGGATACAATTTGGCAAGTATGCACTTATATATTATTCCTATTACCACAACCAACATCCAGGTAATAGCATATCCATCACCTCTAAGAAGTTTCTTATGTCCCTTGGTCGTTGTCAGATCCCCTAAGATCTACCGTCTTAACAAATTGCTAAGTACACAATATCCCATTCTATGTTTTAGAGCCTATCTCTGCCATTGACTAATTTTATATAGCTCTAACCCTTCAGCAAGAACTCCACGTATTGCTCTTCCCGCACGCAAGAAAACACCAAACTCTTTTCAAGCACATTCTGTATAATCCGTTACATGATGCTTCTCCCGACATCCTTTTATTCGCTCCCTTTCAGTAAAGGAAACTGCTACTATAACAATGATCTATTTTGGATTTTTGTATCTTTTACATATGTTACTGCATGAAGCCATTTCACATTTTTTCTCCCATGATCTTACCATGAAGTACTCCATGCACTTCTAGTTCCTACGATATTGCCTGGCAAACAATAGATGTATAAAGTAGGATCGATGATGTTGCCCGTGCATGTAGAAAATAGTAAAGAAAGCAGCTGACAAGGAAGACATCCGGAGTCTTTGGGAACTAAATAATATTAATCTGCTTTCTCATCCATTGAGATATGCCCACATTTATGTACTTTTGTGTCCCTGGAAATTTCCTGTGGGAGACTTAGTTATTCTCTTTTCGTTAGGCTCTGCTAACCAAGAACAAATCACACACCCAGAGAACATCATAAATAGGCACAGACCCACCATGCCCAGAAAGTCCAGGCTCAACCCGCATGGATGCTGGCCCTTCAGCCATGAGATTCCATTTGCTTCTCTTTATTGTCCTTCTTTTTTCGATTCTCTCATCCCCAGGTAAGTTGGTAGCTGATTATGATAAAGTTTGGCAGATTCGAAGGCTGTGTCTCTGGCCAGACGAGATCCTAGAATGAGTCCTGTGGGTTCAGGAATCTCATATATACAGCTTTACTAGGATTATAATAGGGAAAAATAGAAAAGAGACTCATTTAGCAGTAGCACCTGTTGATCAGTTTCTATCCATGTCTTTTGACCTAGTGAATGGATATAATAATGGATGCTGCTGAAATTCAACCCTGTCAAATATAACTGCCCACATTTAATTTCCATGCCTCACCAAGGCATCTCAAAATACAAAGTAAGGATACAAGGGAATGCGACCTCAATGGGATGCCTTGGTGGGGCACGAACATTCGTATGCAGGCAATTAGATATGACAGGTCTGAACTTTACAGCTTTGTCATAGTAGATTGTTTCTTTAAACAATTGATACATAGCTGCCTAATTATTTCTCCACATTACAAATTTCAATACATTTAGTTCTTGAGGGTCCACATATGCTGTTTCTGTTACTAACTTTTATTCATGGTGTCTTGCCTACCTGATCATTTTTAATGCTGAACTCACTGCTCATCCTTAATCTGCCTTTATTCTATGGTCTAAAATGGGAATGCTATCATCCACACTTCTTCTGCGAAAATGACTCAATGCTTTATCTCAACATAGGAGCTTCTGCATTAACACACTGGAATTCCCGATGGCCCAAGAGTCAGTAGTACCCCCATTCGCATTGCTGATAATAGCAGATCTTCCCAGAATATCTTCCGGGAAACCCTCACCCGCTTCCATCAGCTAGCCAGTACAAAGCGCCCAGTGCTGAAGCTCCAGTTCACAGAGTATTTTTGTGTTTGAAAGAGGGGATATTTTAAGAACTTGCCTAACCATTTTCAAGAATAGAAATGTTTCAAAGAGATCCTCTAAAATATATTGGTTCTATAGCAGTAGTCGCTGGAGAGCAGCTGACTTGTAGTCATGGACAAAAGCCTAAATCTTTCTTTCATTCTATTCACACCAATTTTGTATCTTTTGGGCATATCTCAGATTAAGATGCATTGATAGTGTTCTATGATTTGGGGCACTACTATAGATTCTTCAAAACATATTACATCATTCCAGTGGTATTTGGGGAGGTACAGAGGATAGAAAAAACGATAGGCTCAAGTCTCCCCTGACTTCTCTTCTTACCGCATATGGCATTGTCCAAAACTTTTCGAACTATATTAACACAGCATTGACAGCAGGCTTTCTTCTTTTCCTTCTGACTTTAATAGGGCTATTTATAATGAAATTGCTATATGGGTTGTATTCAGACAAACTTTGACTTTGTAAGGGCAATATATTTCTCATTATTTTTTAAATGTTTACCAGGATGCACTGCTATATTATTTTCAATTCTCCCCTTTCTAAGGCAGATTTAAATAACTTGATGAAGTCTATTAGTATATTATATATGCTATAGTATATAGTAGTATATTATAAACACTACTCTGCTACAGGAAACAAAAACATCACCACCAAATTGTATAGCTATGTACAAAGCAAAACAGCCCTGGGAGGGTTCGAGGGACCATTTAAGAAGCCATTGCAACACAGTGGGGAGAGAGAGAGACAGAGACAGACAGAGAGAGAGAGAGAGACAGAGACAGAGAACACAACAAAACAAAAGAATAGCCACATGGAAAAAGCAACTAGTGAAATCACACACCTGAGATGCCAGAACCATCTTTTTTGGCTAGGCTAGAAACAAAAAAAGGAGAAAGAGACGATCCGTATCAGCCACAAGGTGGAAACCGCTATGACCCTCAGTAACCCGTTCTGGCAGAGGACACTGGCATTTTTTGCCACTGGGGTAAGCAGCAGCCATTCCTGACAGAAAACCCCGAGAAAAGGACGAAGATGTACCGTCCCCTCTCACATCCGTTTTCCATGAAAACTACAATGACTGTTGTGCCAAACCAGGATGGGAATTGCTACCTCTCTTAACCTGCATGTGCCCCTGACATATGAGCAGCAGCGATGCTAAGAGCTCCCACATAAAAATGCTCATACTGAAGTCATTCTGTTTCTTAAGAGTGTTTATGGATTTACATTCTCTTTGTGGACTAAATATCTTGCTGGATCTTCTTTTCTGCAGTAAGAAGTGGTTTGGGTCCTGCTGAAGGTCATTGTCTCAATTTGGGTGGGGTTTGCAGAAGAGATATCTGCAAAGTAATAGAAGATGCAGTCGGTGCCTGCCGAAGAAGGATGAAGTGCTGTAGAGCATGGTGGATTGCAATGCCAATTCCAACACCACTTATCATGTCAGATTACCAAGAACCTCTTAAACCAAAGGTGAAATGAAACTGACCTAAAATAAAAATACATCAGAAGTGAAGTTTTTGCATCCAAGAATATTAAAATATGCATATTCAGTACTTCCATCTTGATAACTATCTTCTATTTTCACTTATCAGTGCAAATGAGTAAACGTTAATTTCAAATATACCCAAGTACTATTCTCCCATGAGTCATTAACAGACCTTAACAAACCTTTAAAAGTGACGAAACTGTTACTTGTGTTTTCCAAGGTAGTGGATTGAAGGCATTTTGTTGGCCTGCCTCTCCCACTTGGAAAGACAAAACTGTGTGTAGACGTTCACACTGTGAACTTCTTTCGAGAAACATCACAGGAACTTCACAGGAAAATTGAAATAAGCCACAGACCCTTTGAAAGAAGCAGCAGGATGCAGCTTACACCATGAGCTAGCGGAACATTTTAAGTGCCTGGGGTGTTAGATGGGAGTAAACTGACTCTAAGACACACAGTTCCACTGGGAAACCTATCAAACCAGGCCATGGGGGAAGGCCTGAACCCTACCCAACGCTGGACCTGATTTAGTGAAGAGCGGGGAGTATGTGCAGAGCGGCATTAGGATGTGCTTTGAGTCTGCCGGTCTCTGGCAGGATGGAGGGAAGCCATTCCTGATTCCACTTCAGAGAGGACCTCCCAGAAGTCTGCCCGCTAACTCAGACGGTGGTCACAGGTTGAGAGAACTTCCCAGCTGAAAGTTTTGATATAATCTTGAGTGAGGACAAACTCCCCAGGCCAGAACCGAGGGGTGAGTGGGTATTGTGCTGCAGCAGGGAGCATAGGAGCTGGGTGTCCCTGCTCTGCAGGTGGACCAGGAGGGGTGTGGCCTGAAGGCTGCCATTGCTATCTCCATAGGAAGGGCTTATGGTATCAGTTTTGCGTTCTGAATGCAGACTTCCTGAAACTTAGCTAGCTACTCCCAACGGAACACTGTGGGTGTGAGGCCTGCCTTGCCAAGTGTGTGGGAGCTGGGTGGAACTTACTGCCAACCTGCTACTCCCGGTTCTTCATGTGGACTCTCCTTGTACAGAGGCAGAGACAGCTTCACTCTCCTCTGGAAAAGTATCCCAGTGGCCCAAGAACGGCCTTCCAATTCCCACTGGAGCCACAGCTTGTCCCACATGGAGAGAGCCAGAGCATGGCCTCACCTGCTCCAGTTCTCACCTGGTTTGCTCAACCACCCTCCCTGGTAGATTAACACAAGTAACAGAGGAAACTTTTAGGAACTCTCTGGCTCCACCCACTTCCTGAGACACTGGAGTACCTCCCATGGGTAACATAAGGCAAGTCAAAATCTCACCACTACCACCACAGCTGGCAGTCTTTCCCAACTGCCACCTCTGGCTGAAGGTCATCTGACACAGTCCATTACCGCATCTGCAGTAGAATAGCAGAGCACCCAGGAAGGAGAAAATCTGTGAGTGGCCACAAGTCTTACCATTGCCTACATCACTCTGGCTAACCAGGTGGCCCTGAGTCTATCCATGTGATGAGTTCATTACTACTACAACTGGCATTTGAGAAATTCAACACACTAGGGCTACGTTTAACCAAGGAATCTCTCAGAGTCTATGTGACTCCCCTGCCACCCCGATCTGATCAGCTGCTGATGCACACTGCTGGGAGACTTGAGGATAGATTACATCCCTGGATCCATTGCAGACATTCTCCAGCATGGCCTGCTGTGTGGCAGCCCCACTGGGTGGCTAGCTCCAGAGGAACAGCAGCATTCACAGTCATCTGGATGTCAGGGACTCCTGCTCCGAGGAAAGAGGAAGTGCATCACATCAAGGAAGCACCCTGGGGGCAAAATAATATAGATAGTCTTGAGTCCCAGATCACTCCACTGTGGGAAGTTGTTAGTTTTTATTTTTGTTTTCCAGCAGAGGAACATATGCATGCTTGGCTCAGCAAGGAAAGTCTGGGGCTAGACCCCAGCAGTAGGGCAGCCTTGATGCTCAAGAAGGGTCTTGGAGAATGGAGACTTACTTTCCATCTCATTCACTACGGCAGACACAGTAGTACTGTGCGCAGAGCCAGTACACAGAGGTGAGCGGCCGTACAACCTACTGAGACGCCAGCCAGGACAGCTAAAGGAGTACTGGCATTACCTGTCCCACAACCCCAGACAGCACAGCTTGCAGCTCCACAAGATACCCCTTCCGTCTGTTAGAGGAGATCAGAAGAAAAAGCAAAAAGGACCCTGTCTTGCATCTTGGAGGTCAGCTGAGCCACAGTAGGATAGGGCGCTGGTCAGGGTCATAGGGTCATGAGGTCATGAGGTTCCAGTTGCAGACACTTGCTTCTGGATGACACTTCTAGACACTTCCTGGGCCAGAAAGAAACCTGCTGCCCTGAAAGAAAGGACTCAGTACTGGCAGTGTTTCTAATCTACGGATGAAAAAGCCCATGAACCCTGAAGAACCAACAGCAGTATCCAGGTAGTATGCTGTGGGCCTTGGCTGAGACTCAGAAACATGGGACTACCAGCTGACTGCAGCTGAGAATGAGCACATTCCCAGCTGTGGGGGCTGTGAATAGAGAATCCTTCTGCTTGAGAAAAGCAGAGGGAAGTGTAAAGGTGACTCCGCTGTACACTTTAGGTAAGAACTCTGCCACGGAATAGTAGTGCATGAAGCAGGCTCTTGGGATCCTTGATTTCAGGACTAGACTCATGGATGGCGTTTCTGGACGTGTCCTGGGCCAGAGGGGAGCCAACTGCCCTGAAAAAGTGCATCCCAGGCCTGGCCACATTCAGCTGACTGAAGAGCTCTTTGGCCTTCACTGAACATCAGCAGTAGCCTGGCAGTGCTCTCCATGGAATTGTGGTGATGGTGGCCACAGGCTGAGGCTCCTCTGCCGGTAAAGGGGAAGGAAGAGTGAGAACATCTGTGTCACGTGGTTTAAGTGCCAGCTCAGCTGCAGCAGAATAGAACACCATGTCAATTTCTAAGGTTTTTGACTCCAGTCCCTGGTTCCTGGACGGCATCTTTGGACCCAAATGGAACCTGGGAAACTCATCACTCCGAACAGGAGGATACGGTTGGTAGTTTCCCAGAGTTTGTTATCTGGCCCGGCCCAGTTAAGCATCTATGGGATGGAGAGGCTGAAATTGCCTGGCCTGTAGCAACAAAACTCCAATGGAGGGTCCAGTAAAAGCTCTTCACTGTAGCAGCAGGTCCGTGCTCATTCACAGCACAGTGTGGTCCGTGAATGTGCATGCCTGTCACAGTGGGAGAATACTTTGTGTGGACGCACATTGGTGGGCGTTCATATGCAGAAGCTCACACATGGTTAGATGTGGTCTTCTGGCAAAATATCTATGGTGGTGAGTGTTGTGAGCAGCCCAAGTTGGGGATCTGAGCTTGTACAGCAAAAAGGTGCAGCCAGGCAGAAACCCTGGGAGATGCTGACAGACAAGGGCGGTGCCCATAGTACACTTGCCTGATTGAATGGACAAGACAGTTCTGAAATCAATTGCATATGGTGTGTAAAAAATGGCATTAGGGAAAATTCTGAAATCAAGTGTCCAGCTGTGAAAGCTGCATCTTTGAAGCACAATCTCAGCCCTGTAATGAGACTTATTTATCTTTGGTGGTGGTTCAGAGGAAATTATTTTGGAGAATGGCCCCTTCGTTTTGTGTATTTGCTTATGACATTTCATGCTCAATCTGGGGCTAGAAACTCCTTTTAAATTTTTCGTTTTGAGACAGAGTTTTGCTCTTGTTACCCACGCTAGAGTGCAGTGGCAAAATCTCGGCTCACTGCCACCCCTGCCTCCTGAGCTCGAGTGAATCACCGGCCTCAGCCTCCCGAGACACTGGGATTACAGGTGCTTGCCACTATGCACAGCTAATTTTAAAATATATATATTTAGTAGAAACGAAGTTTCACCATGTTGGCCAGGCTGGTCTCGAACTCCTGACCTCAGGTGATCCACCCAACTTGGCCTCCTAACGTACAGGAATTACAGACATGAGCCACTGTCTCCGGCCTTCCATTTAAATATTAACAAAATTCATCCAAATAGCACAAAATCAACAGGTGCTTCAATTTGGAATCATCACAGATCAATTTCTCATTAGGTACAGTGATCAAAGTTTACCTACCCAAGAGTAAACATGTCCACGGTAGAACTCAGGGCTCCATAGAAACACAGACTCTTGGGTACAACCCTGCTCAAGCATCCAAATGTGCATATTCACAGCGTCTCTGTGTGACACGTGCAAACTTCAGTGCGATGAGCACAACCTGCAGACACGTTGTCCTTTGGGCTCACCTGGGAATCAGTTAGGAGCGTGAAAGGACACTGATGCCCAGGTCCCGGCTCCAGAGATTACAACCTCCAGCGTCTTGTGTGAAGCCACGGCATCTGGATTTCTCATGGTTCTGGAGATCTTTCTCCTGAAAACTGTGGCTCCTTCCTCCCCGTTCAGTCTTGGCAGCATTCATTTCTTTTTCCGGGACTCAGTCCATCAGGAATGAGATGCCTCCTGATTGAGCACACCTGACACACGACAAGACAAGGGAAAGAAACTGTGCCAAAGGTCGCACTCTTCCCATTCCACCGTCCTTCCTAAAACTGATCCTAATTTCATGAGCCCTGAGCCAGGGACTGTTTCTTTACACCTCAAAATCTTATTGCGTGGCTTAAATTCTACCAGTTTCTTACTGTCTGAAAAATCTTAAGAAAATCCACACAGCCAGGATCTTCATTCCTGATAAGTCAAAGGGCCTGGAGACACACCACAATTCTGTGCCTCTGATATTATGTGACAGGTCTACATTCAGCAGCATGAAATTTTACAGTAAATGTGGTAATTGCGGGTCCACACCACAAAGAGTAACTAGAAATTGAAGCAACATCTCAGATCCTGAACAACTGATTGTTTATTGCTTCTTCAGACAGGGCCTCACTACGGTCACCCAGAACTTTCCAGTGTGTCATATTGGTTGTTTGCTTTTGTCAAGTTTTGGAAGTTTTTATTTT